AAAAACATAAATAATATAAAATAATAAAATAAATGTAAAAAAAAAATTTTTTTAATTATAATTTTTAGTTATAATTTGGGTTATATTTTATCATTACTAAAAAGATAACTGAATACATTTTGGCCAAGATTTATGAAGCAAGATTATTTATTTGCAAAATTTTATAAGAAAAACACTTTTTATTTCAAAATGTTTGGACTTTTTCATTTATATAGCAAATAAAAATCCCAGTGGTGAATAAATACCACCAAAATAAAGTTTTATCTGTCTCAAAAAAATGCAAAACAATTCATATGGGTACAGTGTTGCATGACCGCGCAATTGTCATTCAAAGTGTGATAGCGCTGAAAGCTGAAAATTGGCCTGGACAGGAAGGGGGTGAAAGTGTCCGGACTTGAAGTGGTTAAACTTTAGCAATTAGGCTCCATTCACACCAATGTGTTTTTTAGGTTTTTTTTTTGCAGAAACGCACTACAGTCCATTTAACATGGTTTCCTATGGAACATGTTCACATCCAGGGGCGGACTGACCATTTGGAAATTCAGGCACTGCCCAAGCGCCTGGGGTCAGTAGGGGGCCCTATGAGATGCCCCTGGTACCTTTTTCATAGGCTTTTTTGAGTTTGGGCAAGGACACAGGGGCCCCATGATCCCCTATTGCCCGGGGCCCGATGAGTTGTCAGTCCGCCCCTGTTCACATCTATGCTTTTTAGTGCTGCTGCATTTTTGCAAAGGGTCAGGGACTTTTTTTAAAGCAAAGCGCAGCATTTTTTGCTACAATAGATTTCAATGGAGAATCTGCTGAAATGCATGGTGGTGCGTTTTTTGCCGCATTTTGCTTTTTTATGCAAACAAAAAAATTCCACTTAAAAAAAAAAAAAAAAAGCTGAACAAAGCGTGGTAAAAATGCATGTAGAAAAACGCAAAACGAACTGCAAAATGGACAAAAAGCAAACTGCATAGGTGTGAATGGAGCCCAAAACCTGGAAGCTGATTGGTTTCTATGCAGAGTTGCACCAGATTTTGCCCTCTCCAATTTTAGTAAATCAAACCCCACTGCGTCTTGTGTAATGTGTATGTACAATGTGCTCTAATAAAGTATCTCTTCCACCTGCATGTGAATGGCGGAGAGGTGGGTGGGTCAGTGCAGGATGGGTGAACTTTGATGGTTGAATTACATGATAAACCTGTTCCCCCGGCTGCTGTGTGATAAGGAACTGGAGACAATTAGTGAGAAGTATGGGGCGTGACTACTCTGACTACACCTGTTCCTGGTGGTGACGTTGAAGCTGAGGAGTCAGTACTTCCTTGGAGACTTTCAGTCTTGTTACAGGTAAGAGGGGTTGGGGGGCAAAGGGGTCCATAGATGGGGGAGGACTTGGCTATAGGGTCGTCCCTTTAAACCCAAACACACACACACACACAGGTTCTGGGGCTAATTTAATGCAGATAAGGTGCTCCAGTGAGTTTAATTACCACCTTAATCCGCCCCAGAACCTGTGTAATTCATATGTGTTTGGGTTTAAAGGGATGAGGTGGCAACCCTACTTGGCTGCCTTGTGCCCCTCCATGTGCTGAATGCCCTGGCAGAGATCTCACTAGGGTTGCCACCTAATCCCTCTATTGTAGCACAGTGGCGAAATGGTTAGCACTTCCATCTGGCAGTACTAGGGTCATTGGTTCGAATCTCAACCATGGTAACATCTGTCTGGAGTTTGCATGTTGTGCCTGTGTGGGTTTCCTCCGGGTACTCTGGTTTCCTCCCACACTCCAAAGACATGCTGGTAGGTTAATTGGCTCCTGTCTAAATTGGCCCTAATATGTGTATGTATGAATGTAAGTTAGGGACCTTAGATTGTACACCCCTTGAGGGTTAGGGACTGATGTGAATGTACAATATATATCTATGTAAAGCGCGTAAATTGACGGTGCTATATAAGTACCTGAAATAAATAAATTGTAGCAAAAAAAAAAACACAAAATGTGGAAAAAATCCACACCACCATGCATTTCAGCAGATTCTCCATTGAAATCTATTGTAGCAAAAAACTTTGCTTTTAAAAAAAAGTTCCTGACCCTTTCCAAAAAATGCAGCAGCTCAAAAAGGCATATTTTATTTATTTCAGGTACTTATATAGCGCCGTCAATTTACTCCGCGCTTTACATATATATTGTACATTCACATCAGTCCCTAACACCCCGGTCACATCGCGTGAGACTTGGCATGCGATTTGCAAATTGTATGCCGAATCGCACCCTATTGTCCGCAATGAGAGCGGTCATATCGGTGCGGTTCCGACTTGGTTGGAGCCGCACCGATTTCTAAAGTGTCAGTCGCACTATTTCAGTCATGGGACATGCCGATTTCAGGTGTGATTTGCAAGACATCCGACACAGATGTCTATGCAAATCGCACCAAAAGTAGTGCATGTACCACTTTAGAAATCGGTGCGGTTCTGACTTGGTTGGAGCCGCACCGATTTGACCGCTCTCATTGCGGACAATAGGGTGCGACTCAGCATACGATTTGCAAATCACGTTCCAAGTCGCACCCGATGTGACTGGGGTGTTAGGGACTGATGTGAATGTACAATACATATGTAAAGTGCTTAGTAAATTGATGGCACTATATAAGTACCTGAAATAAATACTTTTGGTGCGATTTGCATAGACATCTGTGTCAGATGTCTTGCAAATCGCACCTGAAATTGGCATCTCACCCGACTTTGATATTGTGCGACTTCACTGTAAGTCGCACGATTTCAAAGTCGGGCTTGATGTGACCAGGCTGTAATAGGGTTCCCACCTCATCCCTCTATTGTAGCAAAAAAAAACGCTGTACTTTGCTTTTAAAAAAGTCCCCGACCCTTTCCAAAAAATGCAGCAGCTCAAAAAAGCATATTTTATTTATTTCAGGCTGAAAAAAGCACAGGCTATGACTCTGGCTAAAGATGGCCATGCAGTTTTTTTTTTTTTTTTTTTTGTTTTTTTTTATTCCAAAAAATAACAGACTCCTCCATCCACAAAAACTGGGTGGATGGAGGAATTCCACCCTGCTGGGTGGGACGTTGTATTCTGACAGTGGAACCCATTGCTGGCAGAATACACTGATCAGCAGCTGCAGTTATACACGGCTTGACTGCAGCTGCTGATCAAGAAAACATTTCCTGTGTCGTTCTGTGCACGGCGCCCTCCCGAATCCTGTGTCGTTCTGTGCACGGCGCCCTCCCCGAATCCTGCGTCTCCCTGTGCGCGGCGCCCTCCCCGAATCCTGCGTCGCCCTGTGCACGGCGCCCTCCCCAATCCTGTGTCGTTCTGTGCGCGGCGCCCTTCCCGAATCCTGCGTCGTTCTGTGCGCGGCGCCCTCCCCGAATCCTGCGTCGTTCTGTGCGCGGCGCCCTCCCCGAATCCTGCGTCGTTCTGTGCGCGGCGCCCTCCCCGAATCCTGCGTCGTTCCCTGTGCGCGGCGCCCTCCCCGAATCCTGCGTCGTTCTGTGCGCGGCGCCCTCCCCGAATCCTGCGTCGCCCTGTGCGCGGCGCCCTCCCGAATCCTGCGTCGCCCTGTGCGCGGCGCCCTCCCGAATCCTGCGTCGCCCCCTGTGCGCGGCGCCCTCCCGAATCCTGCGTCGCCCTGTGCGCGGCGCCCTCCCGAATCCTGCGTCGCCCTGTGCGCGGCGCCCTCCCGAATCCTGCGTCGCCCTGTGCGCGGCGCCCTCCCGAATCCTGCGTCGCCCTGTGCGCGGCGCCCTCCCGAATCCTGCGTCTCCCTGTGCGCGGCGCCCCCCCCGAATCCTGCGTCGTTCTGTGCGCGGCGCCCTCCCCGAATCCTGCGTCGTTCTGTGCGCGGCGCCCTCCCCGAATCCTGCGTCGTTCTGTGCGCGCGGCGCCCTCCCCGAATCCTGCGTCGCCCTGTGCGCGGCGCCCTCCCGAATCCTGCGTCGCCCTGTGCGCGGCGCCCTCCCGAATCCTGCGTCGCCCTGTGCGCGGCGCCCTCCCGAATCCTGCGTCTCCCTGTGCGCGGCGCCCTCCCGAATCCTGCGTCTCCCTGTGCGCGGCGCCCTCCCGAATCCTGCGTCTCCCTGTGCGCGGCGCCCTCCCGAATCCTGCGTCTTTCTGTGAGGGGCGCCTTCCCGAATCCTGCGTCGCCCTGTGCGCGGCGCCTCCCGAATCCTGCGTCGTTCTGTGAGGGGCGCCCTACCGAATCCTGCGTCGTCCTGTGCGTGACTCCCTCCCGAATCCTGCGTCGTTCTGTGAGGGGCGCCCTCCCGAATCCTACCACACTTTGTGTAACGCACAGTTTGTGTAAAACCATCTGTAATGGAAGCTACGCCTCAGGTCACTTCCTCCCTCACGTGCCCTTCATTCTGAAGTTCAATAGTTGGGATGTGTGTAAATGAGGGACAGTTGGGAGTTATATTGTCACCGAGCACAAGGACCACCAGGTGAATATAAACCAATCAAAGCCTGAAAGGGAAAAAAAACCCGCCAGGCAAGCATTCAGGGACAGCTTTCAAGCATTACTTCAAATTTTGCTCTGTGAGTTTACTGTACTATACAACTATCCACCAAAAACATGGCCGCCGCTGCTCCGTGGAGGCGACGTGATGTCATCTCTAAGCGCCAAACCCGGAAGCAAGCTGCGGAAGGGAGCTGTCAGTAGACATAGGTGTCCGGGGGAGGGCGCTCCCGTCTTGGTAGTCCCGGCAGGTGTCGGAGGTTGGGTGAGGAGGACTGACTTTCTTCTCTGCTGCTTCTTCTACTTTGTATGGCTGAGCTCCTGCAGTGTGCACTGTCTGCTCTCCTCCTCCTCCTCCTGTGTGTGTCCCATGTGTGCTGACCCTGCCTGTGTTCACCATGTACAGGACTCTGAAACGCTCCAGCATCCTGAGGATGGCCCTGGAAGGGGAAGGTGAGGTGGAGAAGGGGGGCCAGGAGCCCTTCCTGGTCCGCGCGGTGAAGATCGCCCTGGTGGTGGCGCTCTATTGGTTTGTCTCCATCACCATGGTCTTCCTCAACAAGTACCTGCTGGACAGCCCGTCCCTGAAGCTGGACGCCCCGCTCTTCGTCACTTTCTACCAGTGTTTGGTCACCGTACTCCTGTGTAAGGCCCTCAGCCTGCTCACCCTGGTCATCCCTTCCCACATGCTGGAGTTCCCCTCCATCCGCTTCGACCCCAAAGTCCTGCGCAGCGTGCTGCCCCTCTCCGTCGTCTTCATCGGGATGATCACCTTCAACAACCTGTGCCTCAAGCACCTCGGCGTGGCCTTCTACACGGTGGGCCGCTGCCTCAGTACCGTCTTCAACGTCCTGCTGTCCTACATCCTGCTGAAACAGACCACCTCCTTCTACGCCCTGCTGTCCTGCGGGGTCATCCTAGGTAAGGCTTGCCGCAAGAGCTCACGCTTCTTGTATGCTGTATAGATCAAAGGGTATCTAAAGATTACATTTTTAGGGGTTAGAGCCCCCTTTTGGGGTTTTCTTTTAATTTAGGTCTTTGTCAGTGCTAGGTGTCCTTATGAGATTTGGAACTTTGTCCTGATGACCATTGCTGCCAGGAAACTCTGGCCCGGGTAGGGGGGCCATTGCCGAAAGGACACTCTGCCCCGGGGCCCCAGTGAGGTTCATGGGGGGGGGGCATTGCTGACGGGACTCTCTACCCCGGGGGATTGTTCTTACAGTGAGGGTTTCCCCTTGTTTTGGGGGAAATTCTTTTTCACTTTCTGTTGTGCTTTGAAACAGGAAGTGATAGAAAATCTTCCTAAAGAGATACAGGAAAATATTCTACCCCGGGGGGGCCATTGCCAACGGAATACTCTGCCCTGGACTCTCTGCCGCGGGGGAAGGGGGCCATTGCCAATGGGACACTCTGCCCTGGACACTCCGCCCCGGGGGGAGGGGGCCATTGCCAAGGAGACACTCTGCCCTGGGGGGAGGGGGCCATTGCCAAGGAGACACTCTGCCCTGGGGGGAGGGGGCCATTGCCAAGGAGACACTCTGCCCCGGGGGGAGGGGGCCATTGCCAGCGAGACACTCTGCCCCGGGTGGGACAGCATTGCTGACGGGAAACTCTGCCCTGGACCCTCTGCCCCGGGGGGCCATTGCCGACGAGACACTCTTCCCCAGGGGGAGGGGGCCATTGCCGACGAGACACTCTTCCCCGGGGGGAGGGGGCCATTGCCGACGAGACACTCTGCCCCGGGGGGAGGGGGCCATTGCCGACGAGACACTCTGCCCCGGGGGGAGGGGGCCATTGCCGACGAGACACTCTGCCCCGGGGGGAGGGGGCCATTGCCGACGAGACACTCTGCCCCGGGGGGAGGGGGCCATTGCCGACGAGACACTCTGCCCCGGGGGGAGGGGGCCATTGCCGACGAGACACTCTGCCCCGGGGGGAGGGGGGCCATTGCCGACGAGACACTCTGCCCCGGGGGGAGGGGCCATTGCCGACGAGACACTCTGCCCCGGGGGGAGCGGGCCATTGCCGACGAGACACTCTGCCCCGGGGGGAGGGGGCCATTGCCGACGAGACACTCTGCCCCGGGGGGAGGGGGCCATTGCCGACGAGACACTCTGCCCCGGGGGGAGGGGGCCATTGCCGACGAGACACTCTGCCCCGGGGGGAGGGGGCCATTGCCGACGAGACACTCTGCCCCGGGGGGAGGGGGCCATTGCCGGCGAGACACTCTGCCCCGGGGGGACGGGGCCATTGCCGACGAGACACTCTGCCCCTGGGGGGACAGCATTGCTGACGGGACACTCTGCCCTGGACCCTCTGCCCCAGGGGAAGGGGGCCATTGCCAATGAGACACTGCCCCGGGGGGCATTGCCGACGGGACACTCTGCCCCGGGGGAGCATTGCCGATGGGACAGTGGGCCCTGGGGGGGGGTTCATGGTCATTTATGTCCAACTTTTTTGAGATTTCACTGTAACAGAAGTCTTCCAACAGGGACACTTTTCCACTGATTGTTCTTACAGTGAGGGTTCCCCCTCGTTTGGGGAAAATTGCTTCTCACTTTCTGTTGTGCTTTGAAACCGGAAGCGATGGAAAATCTTCCTAAAAAGATACAGGAAGCGAAAATAAAAAAAAAAAAAAAAACAACCCACACACAAGATGTTTTAAAAACTAAAAAGACTATGTGTGTGTGTTTAGGAGATGGAAAATGTTAGATATAGATATATGCTGCCTGTTTTCCTGCTGTGAAGATTTACCCTCTGTATTGTGCTGGTGACCATAGTCACTGAGATAGTTGGTGTCCCCATTTGAACCATCAAATGGGGACACCTGTTGTAAGATGGGGGTTTTCCCTCATTTCCTGTTGTTTTTCTGGCACAGGAAGTGAAGGGATATCTTTCAGTTGGACATGGCAACAAAGAAAAACCTGACTGGCTCTGAAGTATATGTAAAGCTAAGACCTTTTCTCTGAATATTTTTTTTATTTTTTCATTTTTATGCTGTGTCCAATTTGAGATTTCCTTTCACTTCCAGTGACTTGGCAGGAAGTGTGGGGAAATCGCATCAAGTGTTCCCATTGGAAGATTTATTATCTAGTCATATGACACTGACAACTATAAACAACTTTCACTGGGACTGTGAATATCCCCCACGGGAACACAGCAGTAAAAACCTGTTTGGTTTTTTTTGTTGTTTTTTTTTAACCCTCTCTATTCAAAAATGTAAAAACAGGTTTTGGCTTCAGATATCCTTCACAGGTGTGTTCCAGTCTCAGTTACCAGTGAATCCTCAAAATGCATACAGGGGACACAGTCTAGCTGCTTAGGCCTTCTGGTTTTCATCCATGCTTAGCTGTAGTGCACAAGGACAGCTCTGCAGATTTTAAAGCTTCTCATTCTGTGTACCTACTGACCTGTCTATGATATGCAGGTTGTACAGCATTCATTCAGTACCTTGCCTGTACTCCGTCAGTAGTTCAAGCAGAAGAAAACTTCTTTGGTGGGGTGATCTGTTGTTATTGATGGTTTCAGTCACCTGTCATCGCACCCGCAACCCCACTCCCCCATTGCTATCTCCATTGCTGATTTCTGCACATCCTGCAGTGTTCCTAAACTGTCGGTTTGTAGGGGTGTGTGTGTGGGGGGGGGGGGGAAGAGGTCATCACCATTTTGATGGAATGCTAAAGTCAGCCATTCACAAGTCGAATTCCGAAAGAATTTTCTTTCGGAAAGCTTTTCTAAGAATTTTTGTTCGAATTTTGCACCATTAGTGGGCCACAGAAACGGCCTATTTTCATGTGACCATTGAATTTGAGTGATCGGACAAGTTGGAAATTTTTTTAAAAAACGAAGAAATTTTGAATCAGTGATTGGAGAATCGTGCAAGAAATATAAATGAAAAAGAAATAAGCCTGAGTTGTGACCTGGAAAGAAAAGAAAATTCTTGGCCACAAAAATTCTTTTCTGTAGCAACATGAGGTGACATTGAAGTCTTGGCAGGTTGATTTTCGAAATCAGTGGTGGCACCATCGGATTACAAATGCACGAAAAATACGATTTTCTAAAGAAAATTTGTTCTGAATTTGACCCATGTATAGCCTGCATAACACGTATGCCAGCTTTTTATCTTTCTATTGTTGCATATTTTTCCTCACTTCCTGTTTTGGGAAAGGTTGTCTTCAGAAGAGAAAATGAGGGGAAATTTCTCTGACCCCTGTAAAGCCGTAAAATCTGACGGGTTCTATAGCCTTTCAATATTTTATTCAAAACTTTTTATGAAGCATTTTGGATGTAGATGCACTTTATCCACTTAAGGAAGCAGCCCATTTACACCCCTTCATTTCCAGGACAGTTTTCAGTGTTGTGATGGTTTGGTTAACAATTACTCCTTTGTCCAGTAGGTTACAAGATCATTTTTTGAGACGGGTAGAGCTTTCTTTTTTCTTTTTTGTTCTATAGAAAGGAATACAGTCTTGCAGGCAGGACATTTGGTACACTTTCACAAAATGCACAAAAACCAGCTGATCTACTGGAAGTCTATGGCAAAGCACAGGGAAATCGCAGTGTGAAAGGAGCCTTATAAATGCCAGGACAGTAATAAAAACCCCAGAAATAAGTCCTTTTTGGAAAGTAGACTCCCTAAGGTGACTTCATTTTTGTCCCAATTTTTGGGAAATGAAGAAACATGCTGCTATTGGGGTGGTTAAAAAGCAGACATTCACCTTTTTTAAAAAACAAACCTACACAGGATTTGCTCACCCACCACCCCCAACCCCTGCATGTGTACAGGTGTGCCAAAGGGCTTCAAGTCCCATGAGCCCCATGGCACAGCTCTATATGTATTGATTTCGCCAGTCACCTGGGCATGTGTGGGGTTTCCTGCATATGCGCAAAGATGGCGATCAGGGAAATCGCAAAACCTTAGCTGTCTTTGTGAATGCTCAAAAGTGCCGTCGGACCGAGAGGGCTGTGCAGAGCCCATCAGCACGTCTGCACATGCTCCTTAATGGTAGCGCCAAAGGGGGGCAGAGCCACCTGATTGGCAGACTGAAGTTCTGCTTTAAATATGGAGCTTGGTCGTGGTGCGTGAGAGACATTTCCATCATAGGGTATATGCGAAGGGAGGAGGCACACAGTGGGAGGAAGAAAATGAAGGAGTTAATACACAGGTTACTAAAGACATGATGGAGATCAGATTTACTGGGGAGGTGAAAGAGTTAAGAAATTATCCCACAATCACCCCCCCCCCCCCCCCATTCTGAATCTTCTGCTGCCTGTTCTCTGGAACTCCGGAGTAATATCCATTTGTTTCTCTTGTGGAACAAAGGAGTGATCTCTTAAATGTAAACACCAGTACTGTCTTCATTTGTCATCACTGTGATCCTGTCTACACTGTGCCTGCAAACTGTTCCATCACATGACCACTCGGTTTGCAGCCACTTATCAAGAAAAACCACCTGAGAGAGATTTCTGGAGTGATGTAAAAAATAAACCTCCGCCTCCTTGTGTTTTTGTATTGGTTTTGTTTTTTAACCACTTGCTGACCGCTAACAGTAAATATACTGCGAGTGGGTGGCAAATACAGGCACCATCACATGATCATCCTTCCCCTGGGTTTTGGGCGGTCTCCCCCTGCCGACTCATACTGTGATTGGACACAGCACAAGTTTGGCAGATGACTTCAGTTGACATCAGCTGATCGGATGTATCCAGTCACACACGAAGTTCTGTGAACAGCGATCTGGCTGTTTTCTTCTCCCTGAAAAGCGGAGAGCATAAACAACCAGATGGTAAAGTAAGAGCAGCACACGTTACACAGTTAGGCACACAATTAATCGTTCAATTGCCCTTAGATGTTAACCCCTTCCCAGCCATTGTCATTAGTACAGTGACAATGAACAGTATTTGCTTTGATCAATGTATTAGTGTCGCTATTGATGTCAGTGTATCTCAGAGCTAGCATCAGATTGCCCGCCACACTATCACAGTCCCACTATAAGTTGCTGATCATCTCCATTATTAGGTGTGTGATGGTGTTTTTTTTGTTTTTTTTTTTGTTTTTTACCAGACACATGTAGCAGGATACATTTTGGCCTAAATTTTATGAAGAAATTTAGATTTTATTTTTTTTTTGTACATTTTTAAATTATAGTTTGTTTTTTTATCTGTTTTATAACAAAGTAGAAAATATGTATTTGGTTTTCTAAAAGTTTTGGTCTTTTTTTTTTTTTTTTTTTTTTTTTTGTTTCATATAAGAAAAAATAAATAAACCCAGTGGTGATCAAATACCACCAAAAGAAACCTCTTTGTGTGCAAAAATGACATAAATGTCATTTATACATTGGTACAGTGGTGCATGACCACGCAATAACCAGTCAAAGTAGCACAGTGCTCAATGGCAAAAAATGGCTTGGTCATGAAGGGGATAAAACCTTCTGAAGGTCAACTGCACCACCTGCCTGGAGTTTGCATGTTCTGCCTGTGCCTGCGTGGGTTTCCTCCGGGTGCTCTGGTTTCCTTTCACATGCCAAAGACATGCTGGTAGGTGAATTGGCTCCTGTCTAAATTGGCCCTAGTATGTGTATGTATGAATGTGAGTTAGGGACCTTAGATTGTACGCCCCTTGAGGGTTAGGGACTGATGTGAATGTACAATATATATGTAAAGCGCTGTGTAAATTGATGGCGTTATATAAGTACCTGAAATAAGTGGTTAATGGCGGTAAGGAGGTTATTTAAAAATAAAATGATTTTGATTGCCTTAACACAGTTTCATTGTTTCCAGTTTGTATTCGCATTTTGGTGATTGGATTTGATATGTTTTTGATCTCCTTCTTGCCTCCGCAGGTGGCTTTTGGCTCGGCATAGATCAAGAGGGTGCAGAAGGCACCTTGTCCTGGGCTGGAATATTTTATGGTGTCCTGGCCAGTGTGTGCGTTTCCTTGAACGCCATTTACACCAAAAAGGTACTTCCTGCTGTTGACGGCAGCATCTGGCGTCTGACCTTCTACAACAACGTCAATGCTTGCGCCCTTTTCTTGCCCCTCTTGCTGGTGTTTGGAGAGGTCGGCACCCTCATTGCGTTTGACAAGCTCAACTCTTTGCACTTTTGGGGTATGATGACTCTGGGGGGGATTTTCGGCTTTGCTATAGGGTATGTTACAGGACTACAGATTAAATTCACCAGCCCCCTGACTCACAACATCTCAGGAACGGCAAAGGCTTGCGCTCAGACTGTGCTGGCCGTCTTTTACTACCAGCAGGTGAAGAGTGTGTTGTGGTGGACCAGTAATCTCATGGTACTTGGAGGCTCTTTCTCCTACACATGGGTGAAAGGTATGGAGATGAGGAAGACACAAGATCAGTCTGAGCAGACTAATAGTACTGAGGAGAAAAACTCCACTGGGGTTTAATAGTTCATCATTCAGACTGAATATGCAACGATTGGATATCCGCCTAGTGAGCATCAAATGTGAAAATTGTGCAGCCATCTATGGGCGGCTGGGAAGCTGTCATTCTGTACTGCTTCAGGCACCCAATAGCCTGCCGATATGTGACATTTACTTAACCTTTGCAATGAGTTCATATTTAAAGGGTCAATTCTCCAGTCTGATCATGCAGTATTGAGTGCACTCAGCTGGGTTGAAAATCCTGCCATTTACATACCTCTTAGGGTTGCGGCAGCTTGGGTCCATTCACACCATATTACGTGTTATAACTTGTGTTACCCTGCTTTGCCATTATGCATTGCATTTGTATGGTTAGCTGTAATACATTCCTACTTGTATTCCTACATGTACAGTTTAGGGCAAAACAATGCAAAAGCTCTGTGTTGTTTAAAAAAATATAGTGCAGGACCTATTATTATATATATATATTTTTTTTTTAATACCTTACTTGGTGCACCTCCACACGCGAAAATACTTGCATCAAAGCAAATACTATATGGTGTGAATGAGCCCTGAGGTATCCTCCCCAGTTTCCAGCTCCATCCATCCAGTGTTCCCAATAGAAGGTTGTCACTCTCTGGTTTCTTGATCCTCTACTTAAAGTGTACCTGTTTGTTTGGTTTTTTTTGTATGTATAACCCCGTTATGCCCCAGCAACGTAAAAAGAAATGCTGATTTGCAGGTGTGAAAGTGACAACATGTTTTGCTTTGAAAGCAGAAGTGATATAACATTCTTTTGCCTCCGCTGTGTGATGAGACACTTGGCTAACATGTGGGAAGCCTCACTTTCGTCGTTCACTGCTAGTAATCTGGAGTCATGTTAGATCTTTCTGAGCTTCAAAGAGGGCAAATTGTTGGTGCTGCTTAGCTGGTGCCTCTGTGACTGACGTTGCCAATTTATTTGCTGTGTCGGGAGGTACAGTATCAAAGGTTATGACGGCATATACAGTTTCCAGGAAAACAGCGTCTGATAACCATTAGTATGGTCAACTGACCGAAAGGACATTGCATGGGATTGTGATCGAGAAAAAGAAAACAACTGTTGCAAAAGTGACTGCAGAGCTCAATCTCAGTATTCACTGGACTGAGATTGAGCTCTGCAGTCACTTTTGCAACAGTTGTTGTTTTCTTTTTCTCGATCACAGTCCTGCGCAATGTCCTTTTCTCTTTCGGGCAGTTGACCATGTTGACCAGGGTGATGTTTAATAGACGGTTTTCCCAGAAACTGTATTGGTAGTCTCAAACTGTATATTATTGACCTTTTTGATACTGTACCTCACATGACGCCAAAAAAATGGCAACTTCATTCACAGAGGCACCAGCTAAGCGGCACCAACAATCTGCCCTCTTTGCAGCTCAGTAAGCTCTGACATGACTGTATTAACAGCAGTGCACGCAGTGAATGAGGAAAGTGAGCCTTCCCACCTGTTAGCTAGGTGTCTCATCTCACAGCGGAAGCAAAAGAATGTTACATCACTTCCGCTTTCAATGCAAAACATGTCATCACTTTCACACCTGCATCTCTTGTAGTGCTTCTATTTTTTTTTTGTCTATCCCCTGTATATGTGTGGTGGCAAAAATCTGGGATTTAACGCCCAAACGTCTCACATGTGCTGCTGAGCAAGCATCATTTATGTGTTGAGAGCGCACTCCCAGCACAAAGACCAGCTCTCCGTCCCAAGGAAACATCGGTAGCTGGCGGGACTGGCTTCTGATCAAGAGACCACTGTGACAGCCAATCCCAGTCGTCACATGGTCGCTGATCTTTCTCGCCCCCCTAGATGTTAAGACCTTTTAAAGGAGACGCCAGGGTGGGCAGGAAGGGGTTAAAGCTTGCACCGGTTTTCTTTTTTTTTTTTTTTTTTTTTTTTTTTTAGCTGTCTGTATCCCACTGCGGAGCGTTTTTCTCTGACAGGTTCTCACCAGAACAGGTGTTGCAGTAGAAGATTTCGCCTCTTCTGTGTTACGGTGACAACTGTTGGATTTTTCATTACTTCTGGTTCTCTGACTGTAGTCACCCATACAAATAGAGAGGGTGACTCTCCCCAGTGGTGACACAGACTGTTGTAAAACCTAACAGGAGTTCTAATCTTTCAAACTTCTACTGAGGGACACAGCAAGTCTTTAACCTTCAGGTTATACTGCTGCTTACAGGAGGATTGGACCTTGGAAAACTCTAAAACCCAAAAGTCTGTAGGCCAGCCCCTGATACCCTGTCCTACTACCAGTGTGCCTCCGTTTTGCTAGTATCCTAAGAGGATGGATATCTTCTCTTCAGCTTTGCTGTGTGGAAGATGAACTTATTTTAGCTAGCACCCTTTTTCTTGCTACTTTTCAAGATTTTTATTTAATCAAGACTCTTCTCTATGGCACTGCTAGAGCTTGTCTCCTCCATTGCAGCCATTCAGCATGGCCGTCCTCAGCCTGGATTTTGAAGTGCCGCATCTGACCCCCCACAAGAATGGACGTTGTGGGTATAGCCTGAAAGTTACCTTTGGGAACTGGGTTTGGTGTAGGGTGCTATCCAGACTTCTATCTGATGAAAGTTAGCTGGTTGAGGTCCTGAGACACTGGCATTGCTTCAGCGTTTGCCTTGTTTCTGAAGACTCACTTTATACTTCTGTTGGGCCAAGATGTTATATCCGTTTGGATGGATCCTGAACCTTTTAGACATTCAGTTGCACAACTTCACAGGAGTTGAGCGTATCCATCAATCTGGCAGTAACAGGAGAGGTAGATTGGGTCCTGGACAGTCGGGATTCTTCTGCATAAGATGCTGATGACCTCATCCACATGCAGACTTTCAGTGATGTCTGGGAAGCTGGTGGACCAAGCTTTGTAATGTGACAATGTTCCTGGGAAGGGCATCCTTGACCCGTTACACATGTCTCTTACCTGTGCTACCTGTCACATTTTTGCTTTTCTACATCCAGTACTGGGTCCGGCTTTGTTGGTAGCCCAGGGTACTGGTGACATCACTTTCCAGGTCATGTGATAGTGCTCCAGCCCATGCACTCTCGCAGGGGGAGCAGGTCATGTGCTCCTCAATACCAAAAGCACTGGGTATTCTCAATAGCTGCAGAGGTGCAAGGGGAGCACAGGTAAGGTGAGTAAAAAGAGCATTCACTGGCCCTCTTATAGCCTTACAAGCACAAGGTGACATAGGGGTTGATTTACTAAAGGCAAATAGACTGTGCACTTTGCAGGTGCAGTTGCTCCAGAGCTTAGTAAATGTGGTAAAGCTTCACTTTACAAAATACCCAATCACAAGCAAGGAAAAAACAAAAACAGCATTTTTGCTTTAACATGATTGTTGAAATCAGCAGAGCTTCCCCTCATGTACTAAATTCTGGAGCAACCGCACTTCCAATGTGCACAGTGTGAAGCCATTGTTAAACTCCATTGTCTCCTTTGAAGTGTTACCAAACCCACAACCGTAAAATCAGTCTGTATATGCAGTAAAGCATGCTTGTTATACTCACTGTGGAACCTAAGGGGCTAATCCTCTGCATTGTGTAAAAAGGCTGTGTGATCCTGTCTTCTCTGATCCTCCCCTTTACTGTCCCTGATCCATCTGCTGATAGTACACCACTCTAGGAGACACTCTGCACATGCTCAGTTTGGTGTGTTGCTAGAGAGGTGGGTTTTTTTTTCCCTGTTGGATGGGGGGGGGGGTGCATGTGATCAGCACTGTCCAGACAGAGGGCCAGGGGTCATGCAGCCTCATAGGACAGTCAGAGGAGAATGAAATCTACAAGATAAACCATTGCTCGGCTTAACACTGATTGAAGTCACAAGACTGCCATATACTTTTGATGAGAAAAGGTATTTAGCAGTTTAGATTTACTAAAATAATTGCATTTCCATGTTGTGTGAACTGTGGGAAACCAAATATAGTGAATGCGGGGTCCGGGGAGAGCGGATATAGTGAATGCAGGGTCCGGGGAGAGCGGATATAGTGAATGCAGGGTCCGGGGAGAGCGGATATAGTGAATGCGGGGTCCGGGGAGAGCGGATATAGTGAATGCGGGGTCCGGTGAGAGCGGATATAGTGAATGCGGGGTCCGGGGAGAGCGGATATAGTGAATGCGGGGTCCGGGGAGAGCGGATATAGTGAATGCGGGGTCCGGTGAGAGCGGATATAGTGAATGCGGGGTCCGGTGAGAGCGGAGTGAATGCGGGGTCCGGGGAGAGCGGATATAGTGAATGCGGGGTCCGGTGAGAGCGGATATAGTGAATGCGGGGTCCGGGAGAGCGGATATAGTGAATGCGGGGTCCGGGGAGAGCGGATATAGTGAATGCGGGGTCCGGGAGAGCGGATATAGTGAATGCGGGGTCCGGGGAGAGGGGTCGGGGAGAGCGGATATAGTGAATGCGGGGTCCGGGGAGAGCGGATATAGTGAATGCGGGGTCCGGGGAGAGCGGATATAGTGAATGCGGGGTCCGGGGAGAGCGGATATAGTGAATGCGGGGTCCGGTGAGAGCGGATATAGTGAATGCGGGGTCCGGGAGAGCGGATATAGTGAATGCGGGGTCCGGGGAGAGCGGATATAGTGAATGCGGGGTCCTGGGAGAGCGGATATAGTGAATGCGGGGTCCGGGGAGAGCGGATATAGTGAATGCGGGGTCCGGGGAGAGCGGATATAGTGAATGCAGGGTCCAGGGTTTAGTAACACTTTAAGTTGCAGCGTATGAGGGCATTGCACCAAAAATCGTTGGGAGGCTTCGTGGCCAGGCAGAAAAATTGTTTGCTGGCCATAAGAATGGTCACTCTGAACAAAAACTTTCCTATAGTTTTCAATGGCAGCGCTATTACTGAATACTGAAGCTGAGAGGGCGCTCAGTATTGTAGTTGGCTGCCACTATACATTGAGGTCATTTGGAGTCAGTGCAGTGCCCACCCTCACTATTTACATCAGGGACATGCTCAGGAGAGAGATTAGTCACATGGAGCTCCTAATCTT